TGGGGGGGGGGGGGGGTAGCACCCCCCTGCAACCCCCCAGAAAATCCGTCTATGCTTCATATTGAAAGAATGTTTGGAGAATATGGGCAAGGGGTTGTTGCATGCATGTATTTCTAGTTTATAGTTATAATATTAATCACTTACATTGAAGATTTTGATTTATGTATTTAGAGGACGAAGAAATTTTATATGCCTGGTCTCATCTTTGCTTTTTACACACACGTCCAAATGATGAGCAAAGAACAGCATGCTGCAGGCAGTGGTGTAACTTTACTTTTTTTGACCACTCGCCCTAGTGCCAAGTTGGACATGAACATTAGTTTCCCTGAATAAAATTCACTTGCCGTCAGACAATGGTCACTGCGGTACCTAGGTAGGTGGTATAAATTGAGGGACAACATGTCGACCCGTTCTCCCACTGCTCTATATGGCTATGTTATACGGCCTCAGATCTAGTGTTGGCCCTCAAAATACAAAATTTGAATCAAGTACATGCACTATATTATCCCACAATAAAAGCAAATCGTCCAACAATGAAAACATAAACTTAAAGATGCCCAGCTTTTTGTGGCAAAGCAACTTGCCCCGGGCAAGTGTTAAGTTACACCTCTGTTAGAGGCCTTCTTCAATTCATCCATTCATTCCTTTTTTTTACTTTTTTAATACTTAACCGAGTAAATCAGCGTAAGCAAATACTGCAGGAAAACAGATCAAATGTTTTAGAGGGTGAGATAAGCAGATGTTAAGGCCTAGAAAAGTACTCTGTTTCTGCTCAGTTTGTCGGTCCCAAATTGACGCGCGCGGCTTTTTTTTCATTTAGTTTTCTTTTCAAGGGAACGCATTTTCCAGAAATGGCGAGTACATTTGTAGTTTCTTTAAGCCCATCGATTGATTTTTTACGTTTAATGTTAAATTGTGTAAACCGAATATTAATATGATATTAATAATATGTATATAAATATTCGGTATACTACAGGGTGTCTAAAAAAAACCGCTATGGAAATTCAACAGGCTGTCGTGCATCATAAACGTGGCTAAACAATTCAATTTTTACATAGGACGAAAGAACAGTTATTTAGCTTTTCAATGATACTCTTCAGTTTAAATCGTAACGATGAGAAATGGCCGCATACTAGTCAACTAAAAATTGCCTGTCGAAATCGCATTCTTCCACTGTTGGGAATTGCATGGAAAACGAAACATAAACAATTCCCAAGAGGGAATTAAAATTGAATGTTAAATTATCTAACATGAGCTTAAACATGGTTCAATTAACCCATGAACAGAGAACATTCGTAATCAAAACGTTTTACGAAATAAGTCCCTTGCAGCAGACTCGCGATGCTTTTGGATTGATTAACTGTGCATAATTAATGTCTTTTCAATTCCCAACGGTGGAAGAATGTGATTTCGACCGAACATTTTTATTTGACGAGTATGTGGCCATTTCGCATCGTTACGGTTTAAGAAATATATCATAGAAAAGCTAAATAACAGCTCTTTCATCCTATGTAACAGTTGAATTGTTTAGTTAAGTTTGTGTGATGCGCAACAGCCTGTTGAATTTCCATAGCGTTTTTTAGACACCCTGTATATTCGGTATACTATATTCGGTATACTATATTCGGTATATTTTTTATTTATTACATTCGTGTCAAAATTGCAATAGATTTCCTTGACCAGGCAAGAAAATTTTCATACTTTTTTTTCAAAGATGACGCGCGCACTGCCCGGACATTGCAACTGTTGTATAGCTGGGGTTGGAAAAATATAAGCAAGAATTCGAAAATACCACCATCAAAAACAAAAATTGTTTAAAAGGAACTTACCGTTTCTGATTTGCTATAAAACACCCGTATAAATATTGCATATTGCGTATCTTCAATGAGAGGAGCATTCAGGTATTCATTGACGGCATTACTTCGTTTCCTTCGTTTCCTTCGGGCCGCGGTAGTAGTCTTCTGATTATTTCCAACAATGATTGGCACATTGCTTTCGTACATGCCTTTTGTTATAGCAATGTACGCCTTCATTCCATTAGCCGACTGGTTGAAATGTTTTAAGTCACTTTGAGGTGTTTCACGAAAAGTGTTCGTGTTGTCTTTAGTATCCCAACGCTTGACAATAACATCGAAACGCCTAAAAAGACATTTTAAAATTTCGATATTTGCATACGTAATTTTGTACCTTCAAATTTTTCAATCAACTTGAAAATGTTGCATAAAGCTAGAGCAAGTATATCAAAATATCGTGATCTAGGCCTAATAAAATATAATTCATAAGTAGGTATCGAATTGTCCGAATGCATGGATTTACTTCGCAATGCATGTAAGCAGAGCTGATCAGGAAAGCAGAACAATTTTGTCACACGTGAGAAAAGTCCAATTAAATTATCAGGGATGGAAAAGTGGGATGGCAAGAGGAATTGAATCTGCAAATAATCAAGCAAATCAACACTCGGACACTGTAACTGAGTGTATGACGCTAACAAGTTGTGAAACTGATATATATTAACAGAAAAAAGATCATTTCAATGCATTTCAGAATCCTAGTAATACTTTTAGAAATAAAAATATAGCATAAAAATAATATATATAACATGCATGAAGTGTCTGATTATAAAGCATACGCAGCCCAAAACGGCATGTAGAATGCACCAAATGCTTCCAAATGCCAATTTGGATTAAGCTCGCCCCATTCCTCTGTTATTTGTCGCGCGCCGCAAGCTCTCAATGAAAAGCAATGTTCCTATATATAGAATAAACCTAAGGTTGGCAACTATATCTCAACTGACGAATATTCACGACTTCGGCAAAGCGCAAAATACTTCGCACACGTAAAACAAGACTGCAAGAAAGCTGAAAAATTTGCAGAAACATGTCATGGTCTGGCGAAAATTTTGTTGTCTCCATGCGGGATGCTAGAGGTTATTTCATTCGTCATATTTTCAAAAAAATTATGTGATTCAATTGGTTGAAAAAGTAAACAGTTTGTGATGTATTTATAGTAAAAATTTGGTTTCAGGGGGGGTTGGACTACAACAAGAAGACTGCTAAAATACAAGAGCGATTTTTTTTCTTTTTAGTACATCCATTCATAATTTTTATCTACAGCAAAACAACCAGGCAACTTTTACATACATGTACACGTAATGTCATAAAATTCTGAATAATAATGGCGAAGAAAATTTGTTGACAAGACGGGGATATGTGAACACGCTTCGTTGTGACTTGTGAACCTTGGTCAGCAAAGTTTAT